ATACATACATACATACATACATACATACATACGAGATTGGGGAGAGAGAGGCTTGGGGGGATGGGGAGGATGGGAGCAGAGGGAGGGAGAGAGGACGACAGAACACACAAGGGAGACAAGGAAGAGAGGAAGAAGGAGAAAAGGGAGAGGACAATGTCGGCGGACTGAGCCGGAGGCTCTAAAGTACACCAACCCAGTATTGGCGGTTGCACCTTGGCTCCTATTAAAATCCTGCTGCTTTGAGAATCCACGGTGCACATGATGTCCAAGCAAGTATAAGGCGCTGACTTTCGAGTCTTTGCAAAAAACCTTTCCTCGATCTGGTTGTTTAATTGTTTTGGGGGGGTGCAAAGAGGGGACCGGCACTGGACAGCGATCATGTTTACCCTGCCCCTTTTGGTAGTTGTTTTCAAGGACACAGTTGCGGTCAAAGTCTGCGACATGCAAGTGTGCGCACTGCCTTGGGACATTTCATGGGGGCAACCCCCCCTCCAACAAAAAAAACACTTCACAAAACAAAATAAACAACAGAAAAGCAGACAAACAAAAAGCACCAGCCCAGTCGGTGGCCGAATTCCTGCAGGGTGCTCCAGGAGTCGTTGTGGATCCGATGGTTCTTCGCCAAGGGCAGCGCTTCCGTGGCGTCTGCCCGTTCCAAGCAGCCCCTGGGGCCCTCCAAGCGCCTGGCTTCGGTTCACGGGCCGCGCTTTGGGTCGCGGGTCGAAGGTGCGACGTTAGACTGGACCCCCATATTCGATTTGAGCACAGCCAATAGTGAGAACTGAGAACTGGCGGTTTGGTGCGTGGTTTCGAAGCGAAAGCCACCAAAACCCACCATTTCAACTCCTCCAGAGGCTCTTGCCAGCCTGCCATCCGCCTATGACTAGATCCAAGCTGTTCTCTTCACTTCCTGAAGGAGGTGGCCCTCTTGGTCGGAGACTGATCTTCTGCCGGGACCAATGCATGACACAACCCCAAGCCGGTACCGACACCAAGGTGCTGCCATGGCGCGCCAAGGCCTGATCAACGGTGGGCCGCTGCTCCTGCTGGAACCGATCCGTCACATTGGAGCAAGAGCAATCCCCAACGCTTCAGCTCCATTCACATTTCCCGAAAAGTCTTCTGGCAGCTTGCTAACTTGCTTGCTGCACAGGGGGCGGAAACCCGGGCCACACACGAACACAAATGAACTCCATGGACCAACTACATGTGCCAATGGCTACTTTGGGGGAGTCTTGCATGTTGACGGATACCTGCACCCCTCCCAAGGAAAGTTAATGCTTTCAAGTTGCAGCTCGGGCTAACAAGCCAAGATAGCTTGAAACAAATCCCTAGCCGAAACGCATCTAGCCAATGGATGCAAACAACATGTTCTTAACCAACCAACCAACGTGTAATGGATAAATCAAAGCAAGAAGTGCCGAACAGAAGTTCCCCCACCATCTTTCAGATGGACCGTAGGGACTGTAAAAAGGAAGCTATGGCTGCAGGTCACATGTCAGCATGAGCTTGCCGGGCACCAGCGGCACGCTCCAAGCACATCTCATCTTCGTGGCCACTAGCCCGAGGGAAATGCTTCACAGTTTGGGACCAAAGCAAACGACAGGTGCAAACAAAGGGAGCACATTGGAACATGGCAGATTTCGCTTCAGGCTTCCAGCTGACGAGTGGACAAGGTTTGGATGACAAAAAGAGTGCCACACTGCCGCGGCAGGTTTGCCTTGGCCGGCTCCTACATATGCCCAGGTTCCCTCATCATTTCCTGGCCTCACATTCGCTGAAATATGGCCTGCTCGAGCCACCGCCCAGGTTGGGACTTGAAATCCGGGCCTTTTCTAGGTCCTCCAGTCGAGAGGTTAGAATAGGGGTGCCCTTTTTTTCTGTAGTCTATTTTAGGGGAATCCTCCCCCAAAAAAGAAACGGTAAAAGGGCACTATACCAGGACAGGGTTCTACTTTTTGACTACCCAAGTGTGGACTTAAACCCAGGGGTGGTGCATTCCCCCCAAAAGGAGAAACCCTGGGTTTAAGTCAGTCTTGGGATAGTCAAAAAGTGGAGCGCTGTACCGGGACACCTCCGGGACACCTAGTTGTGGTCCCCGCTCCCCGCAGCCGCCTGGTCCGGTTGCAGCAGCTGCTTGACCAAGGCCTTCGCCTCCGGCAGGATGGTGGGCCCAAAAGCGTCCGGCAGCTCCTGCCTGACGCACAAAAAACCACCCGCATGGCCCAAAAAAGAGAACAGAAAAAAAGAAGGACGAAAAATCGGGCACGTCATGGCCCAAAAACAAAGAGAAAAAAAGGAGGGAACAAAACGGGCACGTCCTGCGTGGATGGGCCGAACAAAATGCCAAACTGTTGGTTGGTCTCCGAAAAGGTATTCTGAAAATCCAGGAACTCGGGAAGTGAGAACAAGAGCCCAAAACTGGGGGGGGGGCTGGCACATCGGGGTAACAAGCAAGACATTCCGTGGCTGATTTCAGAGGGAACCCACTCTGAAACAAAAGGGAGATGGGGCACCGTTGGAGGTCTCAGGGTTTCAGACCTTATGGGCCCTGTGAGTGTGCGTTTGATCCTCGGACCATTCTCCCTTCATGATTCTGGTATGGCGCAGGTGGGGGGGAAGGCCGTTCCACACGGCAGCGGGCGGCAAGGTTGCCAAGCACTGATACAAGCACAAAACGACAATGTGTGTGTGTGTGTGTGCACGTGTTTCCCGAGGGTAGTTGAAAAGGAAATTCAGAGGAAAGCCACTCATTTGGGGGGTCCCCGCATTCACACCCCGCCCCCTTCCAGACGTACGTCGGTGCCCCAAGGCCAAAGGCACACCCCACAACTTGATCTCGCCCCTCTTGCGATCCGTCTGCATCCGAGCAGATGCCCCAACTGTGGGTTCCGAATTGTTGGACTCTTTTCGCACTTTCCCCTGGGGTATCCACAGGATCGGCCACCACCAGCCCTACATGCGTCGCGACGCGCGTATGTTGGCAGCAAACTGAGTACTGAGTTCTGCAGAGTGTACCCCGGCTAACCCCTAACCTAACCTCCGCCCCGGGGGGGGGGGGGGGGTTCGGGTTCGGGTTCGGGTTCGGGTTCGGGGCCGGGTTCTTGGTGGGGGGGGGGGGGGTTCGGGTTTCGGGTTCGGGGTTCGGGTTCGGGTTCGGGTTCGGGTTCGGGTTCGGGTTCGGGGCCGGGTTCTTGGTGGGGGGGGGGGGGGTTCGGGTTCGGGTTCGGGTTCGGGTTCGGGTTCGGGTTCGGGTTCGGGTTCGGGTTCGGGTTCGGGTTTGCGTTGGGCTTCCTTTTTGTGGGGGGGGGGGGGGTTCGGGTTCGGGTTCGG